CAGTGAGGGGTGTGAGGTATATCGCAGTATTACAGTGAGGGGTGTGAAGTATATCGCAGTATTACAGTGAAAAGTGTGAGATACATCGCAGTATTACAGAGAGGGGTGTGAGGTATATCGCAGTATTACAGTGATGGGTGTGAGGTATATCGCAGTGTTACAGTAAGGAGTATGAGGTATATCGCAGTATTACAGTGAGGGGTGTGAGGTATATCAGTGTTACAGTGGGGGGTGGGGGGTATATCAGTGAGTTACAATGAGGGGTGTGAGGTATATCACAGTATTACAGTGAGAGGTGTGACATATATTGCAGTATTACAGTGAGGGGTGTGAGGTATATCAGAGTGTTATAGTGAGGGATGTGAGGTATGTCGCAGTATTACAGTGAGAGGTGTGAGGTATATTGCAGTATATCGCAGTGAGGGGAATGAACAGAGCAGTTCAGAGAAGATTCACTCGGCTGATTGTTGGCCTCTTTGGAGAACATTTCAACATGTTGGCTATACATTCAGTGGAGTTTAAAGATGTTAGGAAATATATCAGATTGTGACGGGGCCAGCAGAGGAGACATGGGAGGATTTTTTCTGCAACCAGAGGAAAAGTTGAGAGTGAAAGGTCTCCCATTAAAGAATGAGATGAGGAGGTTTTTATTTCTCTCTCTCAGGTTTGGGATTCCCTTTCCCAGAGAACGATGGGCCTTACAGTATATGCAAGGTTGAATTGGACAGATTCTTAATTTAAAAAATGGTCACAGTGGTAGACCCAGGCTGGGATGTGGGTTTAAGAGAATCAGCAGATCAGTCATAAGGCTGTAGACAGTGTAAATGACCACATAAAATAACAAAGGGATAGTGATCGACTGAATAAACGGGCAAAACTGGCTGATGGATTTTAATGTAAGAAAGTGTATGGTTATCCATTTTGGACAGTAGAAGGATAGGTCAGGTTGCTTTAAAGCAGGTATGAAGTTATATACAATGGATGTCCAGAGATAAGTACATGAATATGAAAGGTTTGGTGAGATATGGGCCTAATGCAGGCAAGTGGGACTAGTTTGGTTTGGGAACATGGTCGGTGTGGACTAGTTGGAGTGAAGGATCTGTTTCTATGCTGTATGACTGTACGCCTCGATGGAACTTGGGGGTTCAGGTGCATTGATCTTTAAAATGCCATGAGCAGTTCTAGGAAATAATCAGAAGAGCTTATGGAATGTTGGCCTTTATATCAAAAGAACTGGAGTATAAGGACGCAGAAAGTTAAACTGTAGCTACACAAAAGCTTGGTTAGATCCGACTTGGAGCGCTGTGGGCAGATCTGGGCACCACACACCTTAGGGAGGATCTATTGGCCTTGGAGGGAGTACAATGTAGGTTTACAAGAATGATACCTGGACTTCAAGGGTTATATTATAAGGAGAGTATGTACAAATTAGACCTGTTTTCTCTGGAGTTTAGAAGGTTAAAGGGTGATCTGATCGAAGTCTTCAAGATATTAACAGGAAAAGACAGACCAAATAAAAATAAATTATTTCCATTGGTTAGGGATTCTAGAGCTAGGGGCATAGTCTGAGAATTAGGGTAGGAGTGTTCAGGAGAGACATTAGGAAGCACTTTGACACACAAAGCATGGTAGATGTTTGGAACTGTTTCACAAATGGCAGTCGATGCTGAGTCAGTTGTTAATTTTAAATCTGAGACAGATAAATTTCTGTTAAGCAAAGGTATTAAGGGATATAGGCCAAAAGCAGGTGTATGGAGTCAGGCCACAGATCAGATATGATCCTATTGATGCTGGAACAGGCTGGAAGAACTGAATGGCCAACTTTTGTTCCTACGATCATAATGAATGGGAGAGCAGGATTAATGGGCTGAATGGCTTCCTCAGACTGCTGTTTCTTATAGCGTTGCAAACAGTTGTGTGAAGATGTCCAGACAAGCTCTGGTTTTCTCGAGTTACGTCACATCCAAATTGCCCAGTCGCCCCTCAGTTTTAAAAGTAACCTACTGTACAGACACCTTTGCAGGGTTTCAGTGCAGACATAATCCTGCTGCTAAATGGATAGTGTGTTGAGCTAGAAACATCTCGAAGTCTACGGTTTGTCTCCCTCCTGGCTGTTTTGGAAGCTGCCAGTCAGATGTTCATGAGGGCACAGTGAGGGTAGATATATCCCTCAGGTCCAAGGTACATGGTGAGAGTGAGTGAAGACTGGCTGCACTTATCAGCAGCAGGTATTGCATCAGGAAGCGCTTCCTCCATTGTCCTGTGTTAATATTCAACAGTGTGACCCTGGAAGTGTGTTTACAGTGAATTATGTCTGGTGGAGCAGAGTGTGAAATTCCACCATGTATCCAGGAGGAAGACCAGCAACGTCTGTGTGCTGAGGAGATAGAGCAAGTTCCTTACAGCCTGTTCCCCCACGACAGTGTGATCTTGTCCCCAGCCATGTCCTGAAACCTCAGTGAGGTTCACTCAAAGCTCATGTTGTCATTCTTTGACTCTAGCCCTAAGGCTCAGCTTCTGCTGCTGTGCTGTATAACTGTATCAGGTTTTCATACATCATTCAGCTTTTCCAGGATAGGACCAGAACAGACGGCCTTTTCTCATTCTTTCACCTGAGCATCACTGACAAGGCCATCTGTATGATATTATACCGTCTAATACAAAGGTGTGACATAAGATTATCCTGTACATTGAGATAGTGCTGTTGGGAGTCTTTTAATCAGCTTTATCTTACCCTGTGTCATGTTGGGGCAGTTAATCCACATTGGGTGTAGGACTGCTATCACAAATAGGCTCATTCTGAGCAGATGTCACAATTGTAGCCATTGAGTGGTTTGTTTATTATGAGACTGCAATCGTTTCCTGATTACTTGTACTGATTCTCAATCGACCAGATTGGAGATTCAATTTATTGGATTGAGGGCCTAGGACTCACCAGTATTGAGCTGGGATGAAATTGATTGTCCTGACTGCGCCTCCCTGGTGTGACATGAGATTTGAATATACAGATGGCCCAAAGACCAAGAACCCGGGATAATATTCTCCACTGGCATCAGATCATTCCAAATGTGGTGGGTAATTAAGGTTAAGCAAGGAAGACACAGTACCTACATAAAATTAACCCTGTAGTTTGCATCTTTTGAAGGAAACACGTTTTCTGTCTGATCCTTCTTCCCATTAGACTTCCTTCTGTAGCCTAAAGATAGTTTTTCTCCCAGAGATGGCCTTTTTGACTACCCTAGCTCCTTGATGCCTGTTGTCATCTGTTGTTAGAGGTTCTGTTGCAGTGGGTGAAACTGAATTCAATGGTGGGGGGGGTGGGGTGCTGTTTTTGAATCAGTACCCACCCATTTCAGAAACAGTGATGAATGCAAACTGTTACTGAACAGGCAGAGAGTGGGAGAGAGAGGGACAGACTGAGAGAGAGAGAGAGTCAGCGATCAAGTCGGAGAAAGAGAGATTTGTGCGTAATTTAGTCAGAAACATGCAGGTCAGACAGTGGAATGCAGACAGACTTATTAGTATGTAGGAGAAGTTCATTAATATGCAGGAGATAGTTGTTGCTGTGTAGGACAGCGTGATTAATATACAGAATAGGTTGGCTAAGGCTTACTAATGAATAGCTCTTTAGAAACAAGAGTGGCCTGACAATGTTCAGCTCTGAGGAATAAACTCATTCCAGCAACTGATGATACTGGTGTTATTCTGTCAGTCTGTGAGCTGTGCAGGAGCAGAGGGATTTGGGGTTTCACAAGGAGTAGCTCCTCCAGGCAAAGAGCTGGTCTGGTCATAGATTTCTAGCCAGAGGCAAGAATTTCAAAGTGGACATAAAGTGCTAAATCTCTGCAAAGCCTCTACATTGAGATCACAGTTGGAGGCTGTGTACAAGTTTCAGCTCCATTCTGTAAGCGGATGTTGAATTTATTTATGAGGACATTTTGCTCATGCACAATGATAGTTCCCAGCCTGAGCAAGGACAAAATGTTCGGAAGGTGGAGTCCTATACAACTGGAATCATTAACTTTGTCTCCCGCTCCACAGACATTGTCTGACCTACTGGATATTTCCAACGCTCTGTTTCAAGGACACATTGTTCTCTCTCTGTTTTCACACTTTTCCTCATGTTGTAGTGCACTTTCTGACTCCTGTTTGTTTGGTATCGGGTCATTTTAGTTTCTGAAAATAATTTGTCAGTGGAGTTTGGGGCAATGTTTTGTTCGGTTTGTCACAGTTTGATCAGACGCCTTGAGTCCAGGCTCATTCTTTGGATGTAGGGTTGAAGAGTGGATTTCCAGGCTGGCAGGAGGTGGAGTTTTCACCCTGAATTTTCACCCTGAGTGAACTGGAACACACTTCACACTTTTCTCTTTTTCTTTTGCTCCAGTGAAATGAGCTCACCTCCTGGATGGGCACAGTCACCTGTAAATCTCCAACCCAGCGGTCAACGCAGTGAGTTGCCTGGCAACAGGAGCCTCCATGCAGACACTGGCACCAGAGATCACCCAGCACCCTCGGGAGGTAAGGAGAAAGGAGTTGCATTTCCATAGCGCCAATCACACAGCCAAGATGCCCCAAAGCACCGTGCAGCCAATTTACTCGTGTTTAAACAGAAGTTGCCAGAAACGCTCAACAGGCGTGGCAGCGCTGTGAAGACACATCAGAGTTAACTTTTCGGGTCCGGTGACCCTTCCAGTCACCGGACTCAAAAGGTTAACTCTGATTTTCTCTTCACAAATCTTTTCCAGCAACTTCTGTTTCTGTTTCTGATTTACAGCATTGGCAGTTCTCTCGGTTCTTACTCGTGTTTAAAGCCTGGTTATGTATGAAGCAGAGCTGTAGGTTCACCCACAAACAGCAGTGGGATCAGTGTTCGAACAGTGATGAGGAAGATGGGCACTGACCACTGCCGAATGGGGGAGAATGCTGCCATTAATCCGGTTCTTGTTGTGAGGAGCTTTTGAGTAGTCTATGGTGAAGGATGGACCACAAACAAGCCTCAGTAAGATGTGGCCCTTCTCTTAGATAACAGCATGCACTTTATACGATCGCAGTAATTATACACTGGTTACATTAACTCTGGGACATGATCAACAATTAACAAGAGTTAAATAAGATGTGTGAATCTCTACGAGGAGACCAGGCCAGACTCCATTTGCTATTTGCCCAACCTGCCTAGCACTGCACCTCTTGGTTGTGTTACGTTTCAGAGTCGGCAGAGCTATAGCTGAGCTCAGATTAACCCTCTCATATCCATCCAATTATAGAACAAGAACCAGATAACCCTTTTTAGTCCCATTGTTGAGAGGTAAGTATTAGCCCCCAGGGTACACAGTGCGGACTGACAGTCCCTGTGTAATTCTGTAAGAGTACTGCACTGTTAGGGATGCCATCTCTGAGGGCACCTGATAAAGCATCTCCTGTTTCAGATGTGACAACCATGGCTCCACATCTGCGATGGTGAAAGGTGCTATAGAAATGTTAGCCTTTCCTTTTTCTTTCTTTGTAGGTGCTCGGAGCTGTGTGAATAACGGGAACAGTCCTGATGGGAGACAGGACAACTTGTCAGATCGGCCACACACCTCTGAAATGAGGAAGGTAAGCTCAAAGACCAGGCTGGGCAGCAGTAACAGTCCTCAGATCTCATTGATCAGTGACAATTGTTAGCTCCAGGTACAGCCAGTCAGGAAGGTGAACTTTGGTCCTGTGTCACTGGGATTGGTTGAACAGCCGTGAAACCTTCCCCAGAGCCCTTCAGGGAAATAAACTGACAAACAATATTCCCTATGAACTGGACAGGTGTACATCCTTCCGAAAACGTGGAAGGTCACACACAGGAAACAAACTGGCAGCAGAAGACAGTATTTCCAAATCAGAAGATTCAATCCCCCCTGCAGCCTATAGACCAGACTATACCACTCAACAATAGACCAAGACTGAGAGAGTGCTGCACTACCTACAATCCTGCTTTTTGAATCAACAATTCTAAGGTGGTTAAAAAAAATCCCAAGCACTCTTTCAAAGAACAGAACAGTGTAGAGGAAGCTTTATTCTGGATCCAACCCTGTTCTGGATATGTTTGTTGCAGACAGCATACAGAGATCTCTAAGAGAGTAGAGAGAACTTCAGGAATAAAAACAAAGTTGCTGGAAAAGCTCAGCAGGTCTGGCAGCATCTGTAAAAGAAAAAACAGAGTTAACATTTTTTCCTTCACAGATGCTGCCAGACCTGCCGAGCTTTTCTAGCAACTTTGTTTTTGTTCCTGATTTACAGCACCTGCAGTTCTTTTGGCTTTTTTTTAGAGAGAACTTCACATTCAGTTAAACTGAGTAAAGGGAGCTATATGCTATATCTAACGTGCTCTATCTTTCCTGGGAATGGTTGTTGGGTTCAGCGTAGAGGAATCTTTACTGTCAGTTTAAAAGAGTAGAGGGAACTTTATTCTGTGTTTGTTTGATTGTGAATTCAGTGAATAGATTTGAATTGAATATCTGGCAAATGATGATCACCAATGGAACTACATCAATTGTCATAGAACCTATCTGTTTCACTACTGTCTTAAAGGGAAGGAAGTCAGCCATCCTTACCCCTCCCTGGCCTGTACGTGATGCAAGACTCATGGCAATGTGTCTTAAGCTGATCTCTGGACAATTACAGATGGACAATAAATGCTGCCCTTGCCAGTGAAACATTAATCCTGTGAAAGAATAAAGAACAGAAAAAAATTCCATTGAATCAGTTGTTTTTAATTGGGAACCAGGCTGGGTACTTAATCCCCACAGACTGTTCCCTCCTCCTAATCTGCCCTCCTTCTTTTCACAGATGAAGGCAGCACGAGCCAAGTTTGATTTCCAGGCTGAATCTGCAAAGTAAGTTGAACATGCCAGAACCCGTGAGACTGAGATATGACCAAACACCATAAGGTCAGGTGGGCCCGAGACCCAGTGAAAGCTGGAACTAGTCCCTCTGCAGGACCAGCTGTGCCCATTTGGCACAAAGCAGTATTAAAGCTGGTGTTGGCACCTTGAGTCAGAGAAACCAGTAACTCCCTCACCTTCTCATACATGGATTCAGTGATTGAGTGCTGGTGGTTGAATAGATACGGTTGGCCAGTCTGTAACTGAAGGCTTTTCGGTTACTGGGATGGCACATGAAGTCTATATTCGGACTGAATTGTTAGGAGCCAGAAGAGTGGGAGGTAAGTGCCTGAGGAAATCCATTCTCTCTTTCTGAGGATTCCACTCTCTGGAGATGTTCCTCTCACACTTTTTGGGTCATGATAGGGCTTGACATTGGCTGCTCGGTGTCTTGTGTTGCAGTCATTTCTCTTTGAATGATGGGCATCCTGTCACCTTCAACCATTTGCTTTGACATGATTTATATGGTTTGCTCTCCAGGGAACTTACTCTTCAGAAGGGAGATGTTGTTTACATCCACAAAGTGCTCGACCATAACTGGCTGAAAGGGGAGCACCATGGGAGGCTCGGGATCTTCCCAACATCTTATGTTGAGGTAGGATGTTCCGGCCTGATTTTCAACCTGCTCATCATCCTCTCTCACACAAGGAGAATCCCTCTGGATGAAAACTAACCCATTTCAGGGTGGACTGCAAGTTCCACAAGGTGACCAGTTCCTTGCTCCCAGGACAGAGAACTCCGCCAGGCTGTCTCAAAGGGCTGAGTGGCCTACTCCTTTTCCCGTGCTCCCCACTAGAAAGTTACACGCCTACTGAGAGGACTGGAATCTCTGGATCCAGCAGAATCGTGTTTATTTTCTCATTCATTCACAGGACGAGGGCATCGCTGGCCAGGCCAGCATTTATTGCCCTTCCCTAATTCTCCAGAGGGCAGTTTAAGAGTCAACCACATTGCTATGGATCTGGAGTCACATGTAGGCCAGACCACGTAAAGGTGGCAGATTTCCTTTCCTAAAGGATATTATAGAACCACATGGACTTTTCGAACAATCAACAATTTCATGGTCATCATCAAACTCCTAATTCCAGATTTGTATTGGATTATTTCAACCCAGGTCCCCAGAACATTATCTGGATGTCTGGATTAGTAGTCCAGCGATCACCTACCCTAACAGTACGGTATCAAGCAATGAGGGAGCTGTGAAATTTCACTGTGATCCCACACTCAAAGGGGTCATACAATCACAGAATTGTTACATCGGCCCATGCATTCGGCCCATCGTTAGTGACAGCCTATCTCCTGCCTTTTCCCCATATCGACTCAATTCTCCACCATCAACTGACTGGTTTCCATCTCTTGCTCTCCTCTTTCAGTTTATTCCTGACACTGAGAGACCAACACCAATTAAGAGCCCGCCCATCCAAATCCTGGAGTATGGAGAAGCTGTTGCTATATTCAACTTCAAAGGCAATTTGAGTGTGGAGCTCTCCTTTCGCAAGGTGTGTGTTTGAAAAGCTTCAATTTAACAAAAGTACATGAGTAAATCCAGATTGTTAGGGACATGATAGTGACAATATCAGTGTCCATAGGAAAATGGGTCATGGGGACAGACAGCAGAGCTTGCACAAGAATGATGGGATGAATGTCCTCCTCTCGCGCTGTATCATTCCAGATTTCTTATATAATATCTCTGTTTCTATCTCTCTGTCTCTCTGTCTTTGCCTCACACTTTCACTCTCTTCTTCACCCTTAGGCTTCCCTGGCCTGTGTGTCAGCACCATCTTGTGGGAATGTGGAGATTTGCAGAGGGATTAATTCAGGCAGCGGGAAGTTACAGTTGAGCCATTTCAGGTTCAGTGAGTGTTGTAGCAGACGTGCATTTTCTGCACTTCGCCAGATTTTTGACAACATTCCCAATGCCTGCATTGTCTTACTGACCCAGCCTGTACAAGGTTTCTAAACTAGAGTCCAACACTACCCTCATTATACGATAGTGAGAACACTATCATGGAGAGAATTGTATAGACATCACAGAGAGTCTGCTGGTCATGATGGATATCAAAGCTACAGTGGAGCAGCTGGTGCTACACCATCACAGCTCATGGAGAAGGGAAGCCAGCAATCTAGCAATATCTGCACAAACTTCCGGGCCTGAGCTGGAGGGAGAGGGCAGTGTCCTAAGGAATATGTGATGAAAAGTTTGTGACCCTAGTGGTGACCATAGTGATTGCAACAACTATCAACTGATCTCCCTGTTGCTGCACATCATGGAAAAAGTACTTGCTCACATTATTTTTGTCAGACTGCAGTTCCTGGCTGGGCACATCTAACCCAAATCCCAAGTGTGGTTTCAGAATGAGAAGCTCTACGATTGACATGATCATCTCAGTCTAACAGCTGCTAGAGAAATGTTTTGAACAAAGGAAACAAAGATACATTACCTTCATCAATCTCACTAAGGCACACAAACATGTGGACAGAGGTGGTCTATTTGAATAGCTGGAGAAAATTTGCAACCTGTTGGAGTCCTCACTGGGACCTGCTGTATCAGTAACGATAATGGTGGCTAGGACAACATTGGAAAACTTTGAGTCTGTGTTGCAGTCAAACAGGGTTATGTTCTGACACTGACGTTCCTTGGCATATTTTTCTCTCTGCTGCTCTCATGTGCCTTCAGCTCATCGACAGAGAATATCTCCCTGATGATACAGAAAGTTGTGCTCGCCTGAGACCAGGACAAAGTTGTGCCAAGTTCTCATCCATGAGCTGCTTAACACCAACAATCCCACACTCGCATCCCACACTGAGGAACATTTTCAGCACAAATGGACAAACTCTTTCACATGTGGAAAGGGATTTACTTCAACCACCAACATCATGAAGATCAATGTCACGGTCCATCCTGCCATCACATCAACACTGACAAAGTGCCTTCACAGTTCTTCAGCTCCCAGCGATCTGTCACCTGATGCTGAAATCAACACATGCACCACAAAAGCTGCAGTGCTACGTCTGAGCTGAGTAGTAGCGACTTGATCAAGAACACCACACTGTGAGTCTACGAAATGCCTATCCTCAGTTCACTCCTCTACAGTAGTGAGGCCTGGGAACCATATGTTTGGTAGGAGAAAAGGCTGAGCTGTTTCCACCTTCTGTGTCTCCGAAACCCTTGGCATGTCTTGGCCAGACAAGCTCACCGACCTAAGCTAAGCCAATAAGATCTGTGATAGTAGGAACTGCAGATGCTGGAGAATCTGAGATAACAAGGTGTAGAGCTGGATGAACACAGCAGGCCAAGCAGCATCATAGGAGCAGGAAGGCTGACGTTTCGGGCCTAGACCCTTCATC